TTTCCTTTCCTTTCCTTTCCTTTCCTTTCCTTTCCTTTCCTTTCCTTCCTTCCTTACTTCTTTTATTTCCTTCCTTTCTTTCTGTCTTTGAAACAGGGCTTCTCTGTGTAGCCCTGGCTGTCACGGAACTCTTCATGTAGATCAGACTGACTTTGAACTCAGAGTTCCACCTGTATCTGCCTTCCCAGTACTGGATTAAAGGCTTGCACAACCACACCTGGCTTCTTATTTTGATTCTTTTAAGAAATGAGTAGTTAGCTGGGCAGTGGGGGCACATGCCTTTAATCCCAGCACTTGGCAGGCAGAGGCAGGCAGATTTCTGAGTTCAAGGCCAGCCTGGTCTACAGAGTGAATGCTAGGACAGGATCTGAAGCTACACAGAGAAACCCTGTCTCAAAAAAAAAAAAAAAAAGAGTATTTAGATTTATTTTTTTTATCCTACATGTATGGATGTTTTGCGTGCACTGTATGTCTGTGTGCCGTATGTTTGTCTACCATGTGCCTGTTTGGTGCCCAGGAAGGCCAGAAGAGGGTGTTGGATTCCCTAGAACTGGAGTTACAAATGATTGTTAGCTGCCATGTAGGATTGGGAATTGAACTTGGGTCTTTTGGAAGAGCAACGAGCACTCTTAACCACGGAGGCATCTCTGCAGCCATCTGATAACAGCTCTCTCACTGGTCCCACGGGACAGAGTTCCCCGTAGGGACATCTCGTGCAGGCTTCACTTCAACGGTGTTTGTTTTACAGTTGTCAAGAAACATCTGCCTTCCAGGAACTCTCAGGCCTCAGCCAAGTAACTGGAATTTTCCAGTCTCCCAGCATAGACCCTCTTCAGTCAGCCAGAAACATCCAGACCCTGAGCTCCTTTCCCCAACATACAACGAGCAGAAGCTCCTCAGTACATACCTGTACCTGCCGCAGATCAGCCCAGGAGAGGCCCCACAGGGGGTGTGGACTTAGGGGTGCTCTGGGCGTGGCTGTGTGGAGCCTGTTTATGGCTCTGAGTGTTGTAGCTGTTGACGAGCATCAGCACTGAGGAGACCCCATGCCAGGGAATGGCCCCAGGACCCCCACCTTAAGTAGAAGGTAGGGGCCCAGGGACAAGTTCTGATTTCAGTTCTTAGAAGAGAAGCTCCCCAGACCCTTTCCTCGTCCTGCTGTGGCATAATTAGACCTTCAGTTATTTAATTGCTTCTCCTCAGTTCCCATAAAGCCAACATTCAGGAACAGGAAATTTCTGGGACATAAAAAAAAGTTCTGGGGGCTGGAGAGATGGCTCAGAGGTTAAGAGCACTGATTGCTCTTCCAGAGGTCCTGAGTTCAATTCCCAGGAACCACATGGTGGCTCATGGCCATCTGTAATGAGATCTGGAGCCCTCTTCTGGCCTTCAAACAGACAGACAGAACATTGTATACATAATAAATAAATAAATCTTTAAAAAAAAAAGTTCTGGGGGATGCCTGGCCTAGGAAACAGAGCTCTTAAGTGCAGAGGCCACTTCTGAGGCCTGCCCTCTGCTTTTCCTCACGCTCTGCTGGGCCTCAAGGGAGGCCGGGTACCTAGATCCCTCATGGGCAGTTCTACTCTCCTGCTGGGTGAATTGACTCTGCCAGTCAGGCGTGGAACTTTGAGTCCTGGACAAGTAAGGTCTCTGTCACTCTGTACCAAGCATCCCTTACCTGTTTTGGTCAACAGCTGACTTGCTCTCAACAGTGGCTGAGTCCACTGCTGCACTTCCCACATTGGCACCAAGGGACCCCCAGACCCTTGTGCTACTCTAGGAATTCTGGGTACACTCAAACCCACCATGGTGGTTTAGAAGGGACGGAATTCCTGGGCATGGGAGCAAGTTCTGCATACATGGTGTAGGGAGGGGGTGAACGGGCTGGAGGCTGGGAGGACTCTGAGGGACTAACCTTGGTGACTGAAAGCAAGTGCTCTTGAGAAGGGCACCTGAGATGAACCAGCAAGACTACTCTGGGGACTTGCAAACTTGAGGTGCAAGTGTGGATGTGGCTGCCATTACACCTGCTTCTGGTTTGTGGCAAGAGCCATGCGGGAGGGTGGGAGGGCCTCTGCACAAGCATGCTACTGCATAGCCAAGGTTAGGGGAGCTAGGGTATCCAAACTCCCCAGAAGCTGGCAGATTGTCCTATGGGTTTTCTGCCTGCTGCTCAGCAAATCAGGGAACCTGGCCTTCATCCTAAAGCGCTCACCCTGGAGTCTGAAGTAAACGCCTGTGTTGTTGCTGGAAGCCAGAAGTGAGAAGGGTAAGCAATGAGCATCCGTCACAGAACCCAGTGCTTTCCATCTGGGTTCAGACCAGGAGCCCGGAGCCTCAGCGGGTAACACATCAGTGAACTGGACCCTCCCTGGATCTTTGTTCTGTATTTCTGGGTATTGTGGAAACATGGAGTCAGAAGTGGGAAGAGTTACACACATACACACACAGAAGTCTGGTCAACTATTGCCCACTGCAGGTGGCCAGAAACCTGCCAAGCTGAGGATGCCCTGCTGGCCTCAGACTGGGAAGACACACGATGAGCTCAGTTCAAGATTATTTCAGGAACAGAGGGTCACATCGTTGTCAATACGTGCACTTTATTGAATCCACCGTGAACATATGCGAGCTAACAGCTGCTGGTGCGCGGGGGGGGGGTAAAAGTGTCAGGACTAAGACCAGGGTGTGGGGAGCTGCAGACAGCGGAGCCCAAGGCAGGCCTAGAAGGCCCCAGAACCAAGTCCATTGGCGTAAAGAGCGATGAAGATAATGATCATGATGATGCTGAAGACCAGCGCGCAGATGTTCAGGCATTTGGCAGTGGAGGCGTAGGCCTGGGCCCCAGTCACATCGCCCACCATCTTCCTGTCCCTAGACTGGAGGAAACCAGACAGCCAGTCAGTGGAGCTGGAGAACTGAGAGACAAGGGCTCTGTCTCACTTCCCCCGTCATCTTCCTAGCAGTGCCCTTTACTTTTCAGGCCAGGGAACTTGCTCCACTTTCACACACTCAAGACACTCCAGAGAAACCCAGCACTGGCCGTCCCCCCAAGGTTTCCTTGTGCACTCTCTACCCAGCCTGGAGTCCTAGTTTTCAGGATGAAGGCACAGTCTAGGAACCAGGAAGTAAGGAAAAATTTTCTAGATGCTAGGCTACAATGGAGATAACCTGACCCAGGGACCTCCAGGCACCTCCCTTGTGACTACATGGATCTTCCCCAAGACACACACATACACGCTCATGGCGATACATATGAACTCTGATCACACACACACCCCAGGTACCATCGGAACGAGTCAAGCTTGAGGCCCTCATACAGCACCTTCACAGAGTAGGCATAGGCTATGAAACCCAGGCAGCAGAAGTTAAAGAAGAGGGTATTGAACATGGACCAGGTCACGTGATCGGGCCTGGAGATCTCAGCAGGCATGTTGATCGTGGTGGTTGGTGCGGAAGTTGAGATGTGGGGACCCCTCAGCAGACCCATCTCTTGCTGCTCCTTAGACATGGCTTGGCTTTTGAGGCTAAGAGCTGTGAATGAAGAAGGAATTGGGAACTGTGACCCAGGCTGAGGAGTCTGGAGGCGCCTGCACACTGGGCCCGCCTTTTCCCCAGTGGGGTCTGTTTCTCGGAAAACTATTTCCTTATGTTTGTAAATTGTGTATTCTAGGGACTGGGGAGTTAAGAACAAAGAATGGTTTCACTGAGGGCCTGCGCAGGGAGAGCCACTCCTAGGTCTTTTCAAGCCGTCTGAAGGAATCCTCGGAGGCTGGAGGGGCGACAGCTCACTCTCCACTAGGTAGAGCAACATCAGTGATCCTGAGTGTGTAGCTTACAGAAAGGAGAAGGGAGCAGCGTGATCACCCTGTGGTGTGCCTTGAGGAATGATGGCTTTTCTGTACGTTGTTTGTTTGTAATCTTACTCTGTTGGTCGTGACAGACACCGGGGAACAACTTATCAGCGACTCCAGCTCTATTTTCTGTACAAACAGGGCTGAGAGCTCGTGGGTCTGTATTTTTAGTCACTCTGTTTTCACTTTTGTAGCACACTCATTTTAGAAGCTGAAGCAGAAAAACAAGGTAATTGTATCCCGAATCCTGGCCAAAACAGCTGCACATGGTAAAAAGAAAAGGGGGGGGGGGATAAATTAGAATGACTTACAGGCTGTGGTCCGAGTGGTCCAGCAGTGGCTGTCTCCTGAAGGAAAGGCAAGGATCGGATCCAGTAGTTGTCCACAGACCAAAAGCGTTGGCTGTCTTAGTCTGATGCTAGAGTCCCAAGGAGATCCTAGAGTTAGGCTGGAATCCTGAAGAAGCAGGTTCTAATACCAGCAGAGCAACGTCCCCGGAACAGGAGAGATGGACGTTTTCAGTGAGAGTGTGGGCAAGCAGGCAAAAATCAAACACTTCCTTCTCCCATATCCTTTTACGTTGGCTGCCACCAGAAGGTGTGGCCCAGATTTAGGGTGGGTCTTCTTTCTGATAATCCCATCAAAAAAAAGAAAAAAAAGACCGCCCCCCCCCCCAGGCATGCTCCATCCACTGCTTGGGTTTCAGTTACTTCTAGGAGTAGTCAAGTTGATTGGCAGCATTAGTCAGCAGTAGTCGTCACAGCCTCTGTGGACCTTCTTGAACACTCTGGCGCTGTCAAGACTGCATCACTGCCTGCTAAGAGCCATCACTCCACCTCCGTCGTAGTGTTCTTAAAAGGTAGGAAGCAACAGAGCCGTCCCCCCCATCCTCCCAAGCCTCCTTGCCCTCTCCCTTTTTCCTCTGAAGTAAAAGCCCCCTAATGAAAACCTTATCTGGGAAATGCCTTCTGCCTCCCTGTTCATTGTTCATGTCTACCTCTGATGACCCTGCAGCAAACTGACTTCAATTTTTCAAAGCCTTTAGCACTTCATTTTTTTTACTTACGATTGGCGTTTCAGATGCAAGAGATGACTAGCATCTAATATCACCTTCGAGGAAATCACCTCTACATAAAATCTGCGAAGCAGGCGGAGGTCTAAGAGGAGCAGCTGGTGAAATGTGTTGTGGAAGACGGCAGCACCTTCAGGCCAGGCCAGAGGAGGGAGGGGCACCAGGAGGCAAAGCTGCTGGCAGCTCTCCAGCAGTTGTCTTACGTGGTACTTGGAGTTATAAGTCTCCCTTTGAGGGATCACACCCAATAGGACTAATATGGCTCAGGAAAGAAACTGCTTTACCTCTGTGGGCTGAGAGTCCTTGTTTTCAGAAGACACCCTAGCCTGAGTCACATCTCAGCCAAGTCAGTGCACTGGGACAGCATCTCACTGCCGAAAGCATCAGGAGGTGGTACCCATGGCCTTCTAGGGATGCCTCTCAGGTGAGTGTCCATAGATCCTACTCTCCATCCCTTCAACTCACCTCTGGGATGCATTCTCAATAACTGATCTAAATTTGATCTTCAGACCCTCATCTTTGATAAGAAGGCCTGTTGGGCCCTGAAGCCCCACCAAGAAGGAGGTCGCCCCAAGAGACACTCTCACCGTGGTTGGTGCAATAGCAAGAGGAATTTTTATTTTTGCTGCCGCAGCAGAGGTCCCTCAGCCTCGAGAGGAGAAGGACCCCTGCTTTGTCTATTACAGGCTCTTTTAAAGGAAAAAAACCCCACAGAATCAAGTGGGGGGGGGAGTACAGAATCAAAAGGGAGAGTCCAGAAACCATTTGTCAACTATTTTGACTAGTTCATTCAATGGTCAGCTGTGGGAATTGCAGCCCCGAGTTACATTTCCCTGCCCCCATTTGAGGTGCTTATCTGCAAAGAAAACATAACTTCCCTCTGCTCCTGGAGTTGAGAAAGGAAGTTTGAGTGCACATGATCATTCCTTGATCCCTGCTGGGGTCAGGTGACAGTCCCTTCGCAGCCCCCTCCTCTTTTGGTGCCATGGTATAAAAGCTAGCCCCAGCAGAACAATAAAGAAGCTGTTCCACCTCAACCTCGTGCTCTGTGAATTCATTCAACCTGGACACCCTCCGCGGAGACTCTTGGTTCCAGCCCGTGCTGACGCAGTAGTCAGCTAACTCTAATTGATCAATGCTATGGCGGCTGCTGGGTTGGTTGAGCAAGGAGAAACACCTGCAGGTTATGTAGGTCGTCTCAGCCCAGTTCCAGGGTCTGGGGCTATAGAAGAAAGACTACAAAGGGGATGGAAAGTACCCAGAGCTCCAGTGCACACGTGGTTGGTTACCAGGGTCCTGGTTCCCAGGAAGGGGGGTGCAGCAGTGCTGAGGTGCCCCAAAGTCTTTCAGGCCATTTATACTTTACTGGATTCTGATACTCACCCATCCTTCTCAAACTCAGCCCAACATGACGTCCCTGATGACTCTTCCTTTGGACACATTCCACCTTGTCTAATACCAGCCACCCCTCTACTGGCAGCTCTGCTCCCTCCTCCCCATCTTTGACTTCCCCTTCCTCCTGGTCTCCCTCCTCCCCACCACAGAACTCTTCCCAACTGCCCCCTCACCCTGTCCACATGCTCACACACTCTCACATTTGCTTGGGACATTCATATTAGGTAACTCAAGAAACAAATAAAAGCAGCCCCCTTTTCTCAGAGATGCTTCCCCTTCCTGAGGTGGCGAATGAAGACCTTAGCATCGCCCAGGTACATGGCCCCTTCCCCGTATCTCGCCTCTCTGGAATATAAAGCTCCAGCCTGCCTTCGCTGGTCCTGGTTGCAAGTCTCCTGCCCATGTTGTATTATTGAACACCATCTCTTTCTCTTTTCTTACCCTTCTGCCCCCTTAGGCCAAAGCAGCCATTTGTTGACTCCCAGTTCTTCAGGGGAGCAGATGTCTTTTGTATTCTAAGTTGTAGCTGTAGAGTTAACATATAAGAATTATTGGCACACTGCATCTTCCCTTCGGCCTTTATCACTAAGTTCTAAGTTCACCATCTGAGGTGACTGTAAACTTTATTATCGTGACCATCTCCTGCTGGAATATAACTGTTAGATTCTTGGGGAACCAAGGAGGGAAAAATATGAAAGTACTTAAAAATCAAAAAAACCCCAAGCACCTATAAAGCTTTCCTAGAACCAATGGCAGACAAGAACTTTACAGTTTCACTACACGTGGACAGGAAATTAAGGTTATTCCACTGTTATAGCATTCGGGACACTGAGAAAAAAAAGACCCTCAGACTCAATTCAGATTATAATTAGTCAAATTTATGAAAACTGCTAGCAGGGCAGTTGTCTCCAACCAAATCAGAGACGCTCTGCCTAGAGCCTAGAGGAGCGTGCAGGAAGGGCTTTGAAGGGTGAACAACCGCAAGAAGGTCCTTGAAGATCTGCACAAGCAAGAAACAGGAACCAGACAGAGCTGTTCTGCCCTGCCAAGATTAGGCAGTCAGGTGACCCAAAAACAGCCCTTGAATATCTGATAAGCGGGTTACAGATACCAAAGTCAGTAGTCAATCACAGCATAACAAAGTAGGAAGTCACGCCACAAGTTTCTGTGTGTGGGGGTGTGGGATTGAGGAGTCTGGGTTGCTTGGAACCTATTTCCCAGGAACTTGAGTCAGGCACAAACAGTTATTAGGTGCCAAGCTTGGTGCCCAGCAGAAGATGAGCGTTATGAATCAGACTTAGATCCAACTCTTTTAGCAAACTGTATATTTGTTCATGATGTTGTTCTATCTCACGATAAGATTAATTTTTTTTGTACTTTTTTATTTATTTGATTAAATCAATGAAAAAACTTCATTTTAGCCACTGGTGATACAGAAAATGTAACAATAGTGTCCTGAGAGAAACAGATGGCAGTTTCTATCATTTACTGACTCTAAAGACTGGCCGTCCAAGGAGGGCATTTGAGCATGCTGCAAGGCTCCTAAGTGCCTTTTTTTCTTTCAGCTTTAATTCTTTTTTTATTGATATTTATTGAGCTCTACATTTTTCTCAGATCCCCTCCCTGCCTCTCCCCTCCCCGCTTCAATCCTCCCCCAAGGTCCCCATGCTCCCAATTTACTCAGGAGATCTTGTCTTTTTCTACTTTCTGCTTTCCATGTAGATTAGATCTATGTAAGTGTCTCCTAGTGTCCTCATTGTTGTCTAAGTTCTCTGGGATTGTGGTTTGTAGGCTGGCTTTCTTTGCTTTATGTTTAAAAACCACCTATGAGTGAGGACATGTGATAATTGTCTTTCTGTGTCTGGGTTACCTCACTCAAAATAATGTTTTCTAGTTCCATCCATTTTCCTGCAAAATTCAAGATGTCATTATTTTTTTTCTGCTGTGTAGTACTCCATTGTGTAAATGTACCACATTTTCCTTATCCATTCTTCAGTCGAGGGGCATTTAGATTGTTTCCAGGTTCTGGCTATGACAAACAAAGCTGCTGTGAACATAGTTGAGCACATGTCCTTGTGGCACGATTGAGCATCCTTTGGATATATACCCAAAAGTGGTATTACTGGGTCTTGAGGAAGGTTGTTTCCTAATTTTCTGAGAAATCACCACACTGACATCCAAAGGGGTTGTACCAGCTTGCATTCCCACCAGCAATGCAGAAGTGTTCCCTTTTCTCCACAACCTCTCCAGCATAAGTTGTCATCAGTGTTTTTGATCTTGGCAATTCTTTCAGGTATAAGATGGAATCTTAGAGTTGTTTTGATTTGCATTTCTCTGATGACTAAGGATGTTGAACATTTTCTTAAGTGTCTTTCAGCCATTTTAGATTTCTCTGTTGAGAGTTCTCTGTTTAGATCTGTACTACATTTTTTTAAATTGGATTATGTGATCTTTTGGTGACCAATTTCTTGAGTTCTTTGTATATTTTGGAAATCAGCCCTCTGTCTGATATGGGGTTAGTGAAGATCTTTTCCCATTCTGTAAGCTGTCATTTTGTCTTGTTGACTGTGTCCTTTGCTTTACCGAAGCTTTTCAATTTCAGGAGGTCCCATTTATTAATTGTTTCTCTCAGTGTCTGTGCTGCTGGGGTTATATTTAGGAAGTGGTTCCCTGTGCCAATGCATTCAAGTGTACTTCCCATTTTCTCTTCTATGAGGTTCAGTGTGGCTGGCTTTATGTTGAGGTCTTTGATCCATTTGGACTTGAGTTTTGTGCATGGTGATAGATATGGGTCTATTTTCATTCTTCTACATGTTGATATCCAGTTATGCCAGCACCACTTGTTAAATATGCTTTATGTTTTCCATTTGATATTTTTTGCTTCTTTATCAAAGATCAGGTATTTGAAGATGTGTGAATTGATGTCCGAGTCTTCTATTTGGTTCCATTGGTCCTCCTGTCTGTTCTTGTGCCAATACCAGGATGTTTTCAGTAATAAAGCTCTGTAGTAGAGTTTGAAGTCAGGGATTGTGATGCCTCCAGAAGTTGTTTTATTGTACAGGATTGTTTTGGCTATCCTGGGTTTTTTGCTTTTCCAAATGAAGCTGAGTGCCGTTCTTTCGAGGTCTTTGAAGAATTTTGCTGGGCATTGCGTTGAATCTGTGAACCTGGTGTTCTTAATGACCTGCATAGACATTCATTCAGATGAACATCTTTAGCCAATGTGAAAAGCCTTCAGGTCTTATAAAGGGCTCCGACAACTGTTCAATTGTAAGTAATCACTAAATATACTCTCTCACCTATTGGGAGAAAACCCAGTTTTACAATAAGCATTCAAAGTAAAAGGCAAGAGAGCCCTCGGAACTGCAAACCAGTGAAGAGCGGAGCATTTCTTTTCCCAAAGGGCACCAGTGGTTGGAGCAACAGCTCAGCAGTTAAGAGTGCTCCTCGTACAGGCCTGAGGTCACAGTTTGGATCCCAGCATCCATGAAACAAGCTGGGCATTCCCTACAGATTCCTGTAACTTCACCGCTGTGGGGAAGGGGGCTGAGGCAGGAGGACTACTGTGGCTTTCTGGCTTCCAACCTAGCTGAGACACAAGTTCCACAGTCAAGAGGGACCCTCCTTCAAAAGGACAGGCAGAGTGATGGAGGAAGATGCCCACTGCTGTCTTCTGGTACCAGTGCACACACCTAAACACACATGCGAACATATGTTCACACAGATACTGTTAAACCTAACCCGTTATGCTATGCACCACAAGGAAGGAGAGAGGCAACACTTACGGGTTTCAAAAACTTTAATAATTCACCTCATAATCAGGTCACTGATAGATCCAGGCTACAGGACAGGGACTCGGAAGCCTTGGTTCTCCTGACAGCCCCAAGCAGGGGCAGAAGCAGGGTTTAAGCATAAAATTCACAAACATTGGTTGCTGAGTTACAACTAAAATTTTGTCATCAGGACTTAAATTGGGGTCTTTCTTGAATGTTCCATCATTGTCAACTGACAGATCAGATTCATTTGTTCCTTCTGTGGTTAGGAACAGTCATAATGTTTCTAAAAAACTAAAAATGAATAGTGATTTTTTTTTCCCCGAGACAGGGTTTCTCCGCATAACAGCTCTGACTGTCCTGGAATTTCCTTTGTAGAACAGGCTGGCCTTGAACTCACAGAGATCCACCTGCCTCTGCCTCCTGAGTGCTGGGATTAAAGGCTTGCACCACCGCCACCACCACCACCACCACCACCACCACCACCACCACCACCCAGTGAATAATGACTATTTCTATGGTTCAGGGAAGCTGTTGATCAGCCGTTGGAGAGTTCCCAGGTCTCCAAGGGCTTGGGAACCTGAACTTTATTTCATCCTGCAGGTAAAATGGAGTCTGAAGTCAAAATGGCAGTACTCAGGCCAAGGTGCTTTCGCCTGCTTCCTTCAACTTACAAACATAAATAAATAGAATAAAAACACCCTTAAAAA